ATTTTGTATTTTTATTAAATTAATTTTTATAAAAAATATATATATATAATTTAATGGGGTTCCTTTTGAAAGAGAAGAATTTGCTTGTTTAAGGCACTAACAAATTATATATTATATATTATTATATATTATTATTAATATTTATTTATTTTTGCAGTTTTGTTCAGCTTCAACCTCTACTGCTCAATTTCCCAAAAAGCCCATGCTTCATAGATCCAAAAGTGCCACTTTTTAAGGACACTCCTGTCCATATCCACATTTTCTTTAATTTTTTTTTAATATTTATGTAATATCCTTAAATTAATTCTACTTATAAATCTTTTTTAGATAGTATTTAACAAAAGCACATGTTATTAACATCTTTTCACTATTTTAATAACAATAAAAACTAATTATTTATTAATTAATCATAATTTTTTTTAAATAAAACTCATCAAAAATAGTATCGTATGCAACAATTTACCCRGTAAGCACTTACCCGGGTAAGAGTCGTCACCTTCACTTGCCGAGTAAGACTCTTCATCTTTATCATTGTTCTTACCGGAGAAGATTTTTGACCCTTGTCATGTTCATCSAATAAAGAAAGTTGCATGGCAAGCACTTTCCGGGTAAACGTGTAGTAAACGACCCCTTATATAAGTTTCTGAACAAAGACTTGTGAGAAGGAAAAAGTCTAATCATTCTCTAAGTTATATTTGTACGGGTGTTTATTAAACAGTACAAGTGTTTGTTAAACAGTACAAATCGTCAGTACTGTAAAACATTGTGTGGTTTAGAAGATTTGAAGTACAGTTATAGTATGTTTGTGTTTTTTTGGTGAAACTTCWTCACGTGGTTCTATTTTGTGGTTTTGAATTACGAATCTACGGTTCAAACTGCAGAGTAATACATTAATTTTTATGTGTCATGTTTTTATCAAAACTGATATTTACAAACTCAAAAACAAGTATAAGCCCAAATGGTAGATAAAAAAAAAGACATAACCCATATCAAGTTCATTAGAATCAGGCACTATAACAAAATTGAATTTATAGGACACCCATAATCTCTAAGTGTCCCAATAGACCTTTTTATATGACTTAATTTATATGACCAAAATATAAAGTGTCATATCTAAAGGTGTTGTAATAAGTTTTTTAGGACATTTTTAATACAAAATGTCGTATTAGCAACTTTATCGGACACTTTTTTTAATAGGACACTTGTTTTTATAGGATAATTTTTCAAATAGTGTCCTATAAAGTTGCTAATGAGACACTTTATATTAAAAGTGTCCCAAAACACTTATTACGACATCAAAAAATGTCATATAAACTTATTACAACGCTTTTAGATATGACATTTTAATTTTTTGGTCCTATAAATTAAGTCTTATAAAGAGGTCTATTAGGACGCTTAAAATTTGGGAGTGTCCTATAAACCCGATTTTGTTGTAGTGAGGGCTTATATATTCAGGATTTTGATGAAAGATGAAGCATGATTATCTGTTTTGGATGAGGGTCAAAATAGGGTGGATATGGTTGAATAAATACGAGAGGGGCGTAGATACAAGGCGGTTGTTGAATACTGACTTGGGTTTGAGTCGGGACCATGAGAGCTTATAAAGAGACGATTCCATATCTCGATCAGAGTTGCGTCATTATCGGAAGGTCTAGCCTGATGTGAGTTTATCTGTTTTAGAGACTTTTGTGTGGAATCAACATGTGGATTTTACTTATATCTATACTATATTATAAAACATTTGACAGAAACGCTTAAGAACCATTTTTTTATGCATGAAGTATTGTTTATTGATGCATATTACTTTAAATTCAACATTACAAGTAATTTTGCATAAGTACAACTTATTAAAGCTCCATTTTTAAATTTGTATAACTAACTGCAGATAAATATAATCAAATACAGAATAAACATTAATTTTAAATATAGAAAATCTAAATTATAATTAAGATAATCATTAAGTTCTAAAATAATGTTCAGTTATTATTTTTATAAAAAATTATATTATTAAATCAAAAGTAAATTCTTTGTTATTAAATTTAAATTAACTTATAATAAAAAATTGAATTAGAGAAGTTAAACCAGAAAAACGAGAATTATTAAATATTATTAAACCAAAAGTATAGATTTTTTTTTTTCAAATTGTTATGCTATCTTCAAATTTATATTTCATTCAAAAATAAAAACATTATCGTTTTCTCAAAACCACATAAAATCGTATTATATCCATAGAAAAATAAAATAAAAACTAAACATTCAAATGAAGATTTATTTCGTTGCATTGCGCGAGTACCCTTCTAGCTTGTTATATATGAAGATCTTTTGAGTCCTTATTTTCATTTTTTGTACGAGTTCATTCACATAATAACAACGTATTTTAGGGCCAAATCTCATATTCATCGTGTTTTTAGGACCGACACCAATTTAGACCCACTGCGACCCGAAACCAGTTTTTAACCATTTGCACTCGATATAGTTTGAGACGGAGACCCATTTAGGACTGGTCGATACCAATATTGGAACATATTGATGCAACCCAGGCCCAATGGAAGATTTTTTTTACAAGCCCAAATCTGAAATTTCAGTACTTCCAATCCCCGAACCTAGGCCCACCTCACTCACAGACTTAGAAGCCCTCCACTCGTGGATCTGTGTGCATTGATAAGTAGAGATGGCGGAATTAATCCGGCACGGCCTCAGACCGACTTGGGACCGGCCCAGTCTGGGAAAAATTGCAACCGGTTTGGGACCATCGGTCAAGGGACCTGTTACACTTTTCATCAAAAAACAAGGCCTTGCTCGACTTTTTTAAAAATGTTACCGTTTTTTATAGCCATTTGAATAGGCATATGATCGTTTTTTTTATCTTTTGATCATTTTTTTTGTCTCATTGACTCTTTATACACTAAATATAAATCATATGATGAATGGAGGAAGATATCGACTCACTAACGTAAAAAAAACTTTCACAATTCTTGCTATAATTCGTGATTTTGGCTCGTATTTGATTTCGATTTTCAACAATTCCTACTTCTCATCTCTTTAACAAAACCAATAACATATTTTAAAGTGTATTAAAATAAAAAAAAATTGTATTCTATAAAAGAAATTCAAAAAAAAGTTTTATGTAAAAAATCTATCTTTTTTATAGAAAAAGTGGGACTGATTTCGGCCCGGTCCGAAACCGGTTCTCATAACTGGGTGTTGGGTTTTTGGTCGGTGCCGGTTATTAGCCATCTTTACAATGACTTGATAATTTATTGCTAGTCTGCACTTTTCCTTGTTTCAAAAGCGGCCACTTCTAATTGTGTAAATAAGATGGTTGGGATCATACCTAATTTCAACATCATTTCAATGGATGTCTTATCGACCTGTGTCGTGTAAAACAAGCTCGTAAACATTCAACCCTCAGTTTAATTGCATTTGCTAATATTCATTATTATTCATCATACCCGTCTGTGATATCTTTGTACACGATTATTATCGCCTTATTATTTTATTTATACATAGTGGTTATTTAAAACATGCATGATTGTGAGTATTTATGAAGAGTTAAAAGCCATAAGCATGAGAAGAAATATGGACCCTCATGAATTGCGGTTGATACAGGAAATGATCTGATGTATCTTATTACTGTTAATCTTCAATTAGGATTGATCCATGTAAAGAGATTATTTTTTACCCTTCTCAATAACTTATATTTTCATCAGAACCCAACCCTGTAAATTTAGTGATTGCTCTGATACCATGGGAACAAAACCTGTTTCTATGATGATGCTTATGTATTTCACAAGAAGTTTTCAAATCAAGTAAAACACATGTCTACAAAAATCAAGAAAGTGGAAAAAGGTAAAGATGCAGAAAACAACAAAAGAAATTGCACGACTCTAAGACCATGTCCAATCTGGCTCCATCATATTTCAAATCATGCTCTGAACTTGCATAATTCAAAACATCTCAAACTTCATCACACTACCTGCATCACAAAATTTTGAAAACAACAACAGTGATAAGGTGTTCAGCACAATTTAATTACATAAGAATTAATGCAAAAAACGCACCAGTTAGTTAAGGAATTGATTTCATTTTCCGATATAAACATGTCTTCTCTTCTTCCGTCTCTGCATGATCATATGCTCTATTTCATCAGCAATTGCATTGAACCACTTTGGTCTTCCCGTTGACAACATCATATATCCCATCCCCAATCCAAGTAAGGTTCCACATCCATATCCCAACATCACCACTTTCCATGTAAATCCACTCTCCTCGTCTTCATCGATTTCAAGCTGTGGGGCACTCAGATGTTCACACTGTTTGGGCAGCGGAAACCCACATAGTCCCGGATTCCCATCGAATAAGGTTGCTTCAAATGTCCTGAACTGTGTTCCATCAGGAATGCGACCCACAAGATGGTTTTGCGAGAGATTTAAGACTTCAAGATCCGTGATAAAGGCAAGACTTTGAGGGATCTCTCCTTTTAGTTGGTTACATGATAGGTCTAACGACTCGATCTCTATGAGATTTCCTAGAGCATATGGGATTCGACCGTTGATGTTGTTGTGGGATAAGTTGAGCACTATCAAAGAGATAAGACTACCAATAGCGTTTGGAATCTCTCCTTCAAATATGTTATTGGATAGATCAACAATTGTGTAGTCAACCGAAATTTTTGTAAATGAAAGTTCCGAACCTTTCACCGCAACAGTGATAGAGTACAACTTGCCAATGTCCAAATATTCCGGTTTTGTGCGGTTCTTAACCCCCCTGTTCTTCATCACGTCAAAATTTTGAAAATAATTTCCAGGGAGATGGCCAACGAACTTGTTTTGAGATAAGTCGAGCACTTTGAGACTCAAAAATGGGTGTTTAATGACTGATGAGGTTTCTATGGGACCATGCAACTTGTTGGATTTGAGAACAAGAACCTGGAGATGTTGAAGATTAGCTGACCAGTGAGGGAATGTACCAGTTAAGTGGTTGTTTCCCAAATCAAGCACTTTCAAGGATTTACATTCAGACAACCCATTTGGCACCTCTCCTTCTAATGAGTTTCCATTCAAAATAAGTCCTTCTAATTTACCACAATCATCCCATGTATTTGGAATGGTGCCATGAAAATTATTGTTTCCCAGGTCTACCATCGCTAGGCTCCAACTCATATTACCTAAGCATTGTGGAATCTCTCCATCAAATTTATTATTGGACATATCCAAATACGATAGATAACTCGTGTTGCAAATTGATGGAGGGAATGACCCTTGAATACGGTTGGAATGCAAATCCAAGTAATCCAAAAACTTGAGATGACCAATTGAGTCAGGTATTTCTCCTGATAAGTTGGCGTTCGAGAGATCCAATAAATTCAAAGACTTGAGATGGCCGATTGAGTCGGGGATTTCTCCTGATAAGTTGGTGTCTGAGAGACCCAATTGAATCAAAGACTGGAGATGGCCGATTGAGTCGGGTATTTCTCCTGATAAGTTGGTGTGTGAGAGATCCAAGCTAATCAAAGACTTGAGATGGCCGATTAAGTCGGGGATTTCTCCTGATAAGTTGGTGTCTGAAAGATTTAACATAATCAATGACTTGAGACGACCGATTGACTCGGGTATTTCTCCTGATAAGTTGGTGCTTGAGAGATCCAAGTAAT